GCAAAAGTTTATCTTGAATGCAATAATTAAAACTACTCTGCGTTTCTCATATCTTTCCAACTACTTATCACATAAAATCAAAGTGTATCAACGCTTAATTTTTTTTTACCTTTGTTTTTGGGTTCCGAACCTAGTGGAGAATATATTGGTTTTATTATGATTGGGTTCTTTTATGTAGATTCGAATTGCAGCAAGGGATTTTTTTCATTAATATACAGGTAATTGTTTTGTTTTCCAGGAGGTTTTCGAAATATTTGAGAAAAACCTGAAAGACGGGAAAAAAACTTAAGATAAACTGTGAGATAGGTACAACATTAAATAAATATTAGTAAGATTTATAAAATGCATTTTATGTTAGTTTATACTATAATATGACATATATCTTGGTGAAAAACCAACATCAGTAACTGAAATCTCCTCAAAATCGTTTTCCTTTAGCAATGGGTTATCGTTCCAGACATTTATACTTAAAACTTTCCTTCCAACTTTCCAACTTCTCTCCTTTACCTAACGTCTAAAGTATGTCCGTAAATTTTTTTTACATAAAAAGGGAACGTTTTTATCCATGTTTTTTAAATTAAATAATAATAAGCAGTCTCTTTTCTTCGTTCGTGTTATCAACAATAAACTATTCCGTATGTGAAGAAAAAAACTAATATTGTTGAAACTATAAATTTGTTATACTTAAAAAATAAGTACTCACAGCATAAGTTTCATCGGAACCTATTCAATCGTCTCTAATATTAGCCTAAGCAGACAGACAAAAAGATCCTTCAATTTAGCTTATAAAATGTAGGTGTTGATAGATTCATTGTTATACGACTTCGTTCGCGGAATTTCCAAGGAAAATCGCAATAATAATTTCCACGAACATATTAAATTTATTTCGAAAACAAGCTCCCGATTCGATCCGGTCGAAAATTTTTTCCCTCCTTCTTCGTCCAAAGGACTTAGAAAGTAACATATCGTTAAGTTAGGTCACCGAAATATTTTTGGACTGAGGCAAGCACAGTTACAATATTTAAATATGATCGAGACCTTTACCTCGTCATTCAGCGATTCGTATATTGAAATTTTTTTCAAGGATTGAAGTGATATATTTAATAAATATTGACTCTTTGTCCAACAGCAAATTAAAAGTTCACAGGCATTTCGTTTTTCTACGATAAAAATAACATCACGTTTCCTTCGGTCGTCTATGACGGTCGATTCGTTAATAATTATTTACAACGCGTAAGAGTCTAATTATACAATTATATTCATATATTTGGTCCCGTGTCCACGTTATTATTTTATGTATGCAAATATAAATAAAACTCGGGGTTTTCGAAGCCGGTGTCGCGTCGATTCGTCGTGTACCTATTACTTATATTGTTTTGGGATTTTGTTTAACAATAGAGAACCAATATACGAGCATGTCTACCGTTCGCCGAAAATGTCAACGGCACGTTGTAAAATATTATGCAAATTGTACTTTTGAAGACATCGTATACGTGGTGGCGGTATATCGTTCGTACTTTAACGGTATCGCGTAGGCAGATGTTACAGATCGATCGTCAGATTGCGTGTCGAATAAACAATACAATATTATATTCGACAGGAGTGGTTTTTATTTTGTCGCAGCATACTATCTACCACCTTCACCACATTCCTCGACACCTCGGAATATACGATGTGCCTCTCGGGGAAGGGTGACCGACCAGCGTCAGACGAAAGTATGCCAAAAATGACGGAGAATTTCGTTGTATTTTATGTTTATTCGGTTTTATGTTGTTTTCTATAAAAAAAATAACGTGCTGAAATATTATATCTAGTCATTTCATGTATCGTTTTTACAGAAAATTTATATTTTTTGTTTTTCTAAAATTTTAGCAACTTTCAAGCAATTGATAAGTATAATTTTAATTTTGCGAGTTTATTATATAATTTTTCTCCCTTTCCCTTATGGATTAAAGTGTTGGACTTAACAGAAGTGCTTAAAAATTTAATTGAACATTCATTATAAATCGTACGGCGTGCTCAAAAATGTAGTTGTGGTTTATTCGTGTTAATATGTTCGTTATATAGGATGGCAGTGTTTTTCATCGGACCATTTCCGTCACTACAACTAGCAGATCGCCGGAAAATCCCAGTGTCCCGACGATCCTCTACACCCCTGGTACAGTAGTGCCGATTATCCTAATCACTCACTGTCACAACGCTAAATCACCTAAATAACATAGTATATATATATTGTTGATAATGCAAATTTAATAACATAGTTAAATCGTGGTCAAAAAAAAAAGTTTTGTGTAGTATAATATTTTATTATTTTTCACAGAAATTTAAATAAATATTTGACAAAATTCGTAAGAATTAGGGCTTTTCAAAACATGTGTAACCATAAATTTCTGTGAATCGTTTTTCATTATCCACAATAATTTATCATATTTCCTATTGGATTTAAATACAATTATTTTACGTAATCTGCTTTCCAAATTCTCACCTAAAACAGTGGCACAATCGTGTGCAGTATCACCTCTTTAAATTCGGAGCATACCAAGAGATATTTTGTTATTATTTTGATTTGTGTTTTTTTTTTATTTAATATGAACAACTTTTCTACCAACAAATATGGCCGAAGTAAGGATTGTTTCATCTTTTCTAAAAAATAATTCTCACTGGTTGGTGCATTCAGGAAGTTATTTTTCAATTTCATATATGGTTTCTGAAATAATTGGGAAAAAGTAACTCATTAAACAAATTTCACTGTAACGTATGTGTTCGATATCTGAGTACGATAAACGTGTAGGTACATTTATTTAAATTAATTGGTAACTTCATCGGCAGGTATGAGTCTAATTCGAAACCAAAGACATAAGCTGGTGGTGGTTAAATGATAACCCAGCTGCGCGACGCTTCATGTGAATAAAGAAAACTGGAAATACAATGATAAATTATAAGAATTTAAACTAGATTTAAATAAAAAAT